AGAAAATATATACTAACTGGTGTTTATTGATAAAAATGCAAAATTCCATAAAATGCAAATATCATACAAGGCCTCTTCCATAAGATCTCACAGAGAAGATACACTCTGAAGATTATAATACAGAGAGGGCTGGTTTTGTCCATTGTCAAAACAAGTTGACATTTTTTTATTCCTGTTTCATGGATTGGGAGAACTGAATCAGTCAGACACCTAAATTGGACTCTCTTGCCATATTCTGAGTCCAACCGGGAAAAAACCATCCGAAAGAAAAAGAACAGCAAATCATTGCTGTGCCAATTAATTTCTCCACTTTTTTTTCTACAGGTGAGCGCCCATACAAGTGCCCTCACTGTGACTATGCTGGCACTCAGTCTGGCTCGCTCAAATATCACCTGCAGCGCCACCATCGGGAGCAAAAGAGCGCTGCTGCAGCTGCCGCAGCTGTAGCAACAATGGAACAGTGCCACGTGGCCCTCACCCCTACTGCAGTCCCTGCCTTTCCCCCTACGCAGCTCACCAAGAGCCATGGGCCCTTCCTTCCTCTAGGTGGCTTGGGGGCAGCTCGCTCCCGCCCATCCCGCCGCAAACCGCTGCTGAACGGGAAGGCTGATTTCCAGCCATTGGATCTTTCCCTGCGCCCAGCCCTGGCAGGAGGAGCCCTCCACCGCTGCCAGTTTTGCCCCTTTGCCACCTCAGCTCCTGAGCTTATGGAGTTACACCTTCAAGTCCATCACAGCAGGAAAGCTCGTACCCGTCGCTGCTCTCACACAGTTCCTAAATCCCGGGTGATGTTGGAGGAGGAAATAGTTGAGCCCCAGGGATCCCTGCTGAAAGGACCGGAATCCCCAAGCCCAAAGGGGGAGATCCCCAAGCCACACAATTTCTGGTCCTCAGAAGATCAGGAAGACTCTCTCCGTCTCAAGTTGCCTCAGGGGAAGCCGAGTTCTGAGGGAGCAATAATTGCCAGTCTTTCTTCTGAAGCTGCACTGAATCAGCAAGGATGGGAGAACCTCTCCCAAGACTCTGAGGAGCCAAAGCCTGAGAAGGAATTGTCTGGCCCAGTGGTCCAAAAAGGGCCACATCAGGAGGCCTCAAAGTCAGGCCAAGGCCTCATGAAATTGCAGTTGGAGCCAGTACAGGCCTGAGTCTACTCTGCATATATAAACCAGTTCCGAATCTGTTTAGCTGCATTGACGACACTCAACCAAGGGACCTGGGAATTGTAGCTTTGTTCTTTCTATTGGCTGATAATAATAATACTGTAATAATGCATTGCTACAAAACTACATTTCCCAGAGTTCATAGGCAGGGGCTTTGCAGAGCCCATAGCATAGTGATAGAACACATGCTTTGCATGCATTAAAGTCCCAGGTTCAATTTTTCCTCTCTATAAAACAAAAAAGTATCAGGACCGGGAAAAGTCCCTGCCTGTGATCTTGGCTGGACGCTGCCACTCAGAGCAGATAGTAAGGGGCTAGTTGGACCAATGGTCTGCCTCAAGAAAAAGCAGCTCCATAAGGCAGTGAAAGCAGTTTCAGGCCTGTTTACATGTGTAGCGTAGACTTGCAGAGACCAGGGAAGGCAGCTTGTGAGAGGTCACCTCACGTATGACAGGGTCAGGCAGCCATCTGCAAGAGGTTTTGGAGTAAGAAGTAGAAGAGTTACCGACTATTTTGAAATAGTTCTCTCTATTTTTAACAGCAGCAAGACAGACATTGGCAAGATACAGGAATTCCTGCCAAGCAGCTAGTCACAGCACAAGAGCCCCAGGAGGAAAAGAGACAAAACTACAATACAACAAGTACTGTCCCTGGGAGGTAAAAGCTGTAGCTGCAGTGGAGAACTGGTTAAGGGCCAGGGAAAGCACGGCAAGGAGATTCAATTCATGCCCTGGGTTGATGGGGAAAGTTGCAGTTCGGCTGAATGGGATTACAGTTCTCTGCACGATCAAGAAAGCTGTTGCAGGGGGTTCCCAATTGCAAAAATGAAACACCCTGATGAACACCCTACAGAAACTCCCCATCAACACGAAGAGGGCAGGTTTAAAGGATGTGCTGCTGGTACCGTCCCTGTCTCCTCTCCATGCACTGGATATTTGAAAGGGCTGCTGTAGCAGTTCTACTTAGTCAAACAGGGTTTGGGGGTGATATCACTGGGGTGTATTAGAGTTCAACCCCTTGTTTTCTCCTCAGTTCTGAGCTTGATGCTGCTTCTTTTAGGTGCCACTGTCTGAGGACCTGGCCCCTTGGGGATCCCACTGTTGGCACATGGAGGGTTGCTGGGCTTCATGGGGACAAGACTCCTGTAGTAGTTCTTGGAAGTTTTCTTCTCTCACTTTTTTTTTTTTTAGGAGCATTTCTGCAGTTATAGCTTTTCCCACCATAGTGTTCCTGTGGTGGGAGAAGCTGAGCTTGTCAACATTCTCTCTTCTCCAATTATTAATGACCCAGGAGCCCTGTCCCCATTACCCTGCCATGTGTCCTAGAGGCAGGGCAGGCTTCACCATCCATTCTTGGCCCAAGGGGATCTCAAGTACCTGGGATGCAGCTTTGTCTCCATCACTTCCAGGTACTTGGGCCTCTCATGTTCCCGTAGCGAGCTACCTGATGCCAGTATCTTATCTCCGTAGTGACCCAGCAACAGAGCTGTGTTTCTGTAGTGACCTGGCACATCAGGGTGCTTGACAACTTCTAGAGTTTTCTATTTTTTTATTGTTTTCTTGTAGAAAATTTGAAACTGGAATAAAAATTACATTGAAAAATGATGTATGGCTTGTAGGAGTCTGCATTTTCAAACAATGTCTCTTAAGCAGTGTTTCTCAACCTCGGGAACTTTAACACGTGTGGACTTCAACTGCCAGAATTCCCCAGCCAGCTCTTAAGCGATAATAGATTGTCCTGCAAGAGGTGTATTGCTATTTCTTCAAACCTTTCTTTGGGGGGGGGGGCCTCCCCCCTTGAAGGATCAATACAAATTACTTGAGAACTATACATTTAATCAAGGAGACAGCATATTGGAGCTTTCACTTTCACTTGTTTTGGCTCCCCACCCCCTTTCCACTTGAGTTGCTATTCCTTTTCTTTTTTGATTTGAGACTGCAGAAGTTTTAATGACACTTGAAAATATGTATACAATAAATATGAATGGCTGATGCATGGATCTGGGTACATAGGAAAAATAAGATTCTAATCCTAGAAACCAGGTGGAAAAAAAAAAAAAAGAGCAAAATTTAGAGTTTTGCAAAACTTGGTGCAGCAAAACCCAGCAACTGACAACCTAAAGGTGTGAATTTCATGATGATTTTATTCTTCCTCTGAATCTCTCATTTATATGTTAAAATAGTTTGTGCTCTGCCTTCTTACAATCTCAAGGCAACGTAGACAGAAACAAAAGCTTGCAAAGACAACAAAATAAACAATTTGCAACCTTAAAACAGCTCCTCGTACATCCATAAGAACTACCAATTAGTAGAAGAAAATCTGCCATTATTATTACATTCTTAAATAGTCCAGCGGGAAGTAAGTGCCAAGGACTAAACAATCTCTAACAAATCACTTCTGTCAAAATATCTAAAGATCGCAATAATTTCTAATAGTATTTTTCAAGGTTTAAACTTACAAAATAATGACAGTTAACTGTTGAACTTTGGTGGCCTGATGCCTATTCGTTTAGAAGTGAAACAGGGCTATGTAAAAATAAAGTAGTGGCGTCTGCATCCTCATTCCTCAGACATATAGAAATATATTAAGTTTGCAGTTTGTTTTAACCCAAAATAGCCTGACAAAAGTCAATGGCTGTGTTTAGACCCACACATTTAAACTTACTTAACCCATTTTCAAGATTCACACATTAGGCAAACAGGTTGGGTTCACACAATACACTAAGTCTCTCAGACATACGCACTCATCCAGCTAATGAAGGTTAGCACCAAGCTTGACATGTGACAGTGCACACAGTCTTTACATGTCCTACTTAAATGCACACAAGCTAATGTGTGCTAAGGAAGGGATTAAGGAAAACAGTGAAAGGAGGTGACCAAGTCAGGCAAAAGTTAAAAGTTGCATGTCATGAGGTTAAAAAGTATCCTACTTATGCATTGTATTTGCTAGATTTATATACCACCTTTCCTCCAGGAGCCCAGGGTACAGTGGCACATATAGCATTTGCTCCTCTGATTTTCTCCCACAACAACCCTGTAAGATTGGACTGAGTGTGACTGGCCCCAGAATCACGTAGTAAGCTTTCATGGCTGAAGGTGTACTTGAACCTGGATCTGCCTGCTCCTAGTTCAGCACCTTAACCACTATACCACACTGTTCCCTATTATGGTTTTCCCCTTCTCCATTCTAGCTGCATAGCAAAGCAGAGGGAAAGGTTTGGGGTTGCAACAAGGCAGCAGAAGCAGAGCGTGGTTTCTGTAATGCTTTCCAAATCCTTTAATCAGCAGTGCCCGTAGGAGGGGTCTGTATTTTCTACATATCATGTTGCACCTGCGATTTGTATGTGTTTCTGCTCTCTCTTCCTGTTAGATCTGGGCCTGTGCATGTGAACCAGGAAGCACAGGGTGGACTACCTACATTCTGCTTTGAATCACATGACTAGGAAGGAGGGAGGGAGGCTTAGAACGGAGCAGTCACTAACATTCTGAACAGCTGCCCAAGTGCCTGGCTCTCATAGAGATGCAGGGAGGGAGGGGGATATTTCAATAATTCTTTTCTCCACAGTTCTTGGCCACACCGGGCCCATTTTTGAGCCTGGACTTTCTTTTGCCAACTCCTTTCCCCACACCAAATATGGTCCGGTTCTGTTCAGTTTTCAGGGGACAGATGGGTGGAAAGAGTCCCAACCCTGTTTACTTAATTTCTTTCCCACATTCTTTTGGGTTGGAAAAGACATAAGGTTCTATTTTTTATCCTCTCCCCCCTTTTAAATCTTTCTCCTGTAAACCACACACAAAACCCCAAAGTTTGCAGAGGCATCCACGACATGGGTGAGCGCCTGGGACAAATGATGAAAGCAGCATTTAGTATTTATAGAAGGGCTGTAAGTTAAATTGGAAAAGGAATGGCAAATTGCTTGGTTCCATTGCCAAGAAAAGTGCATGAAGTCACCAGAAGTCAAGCTCAATTCAAAGAAGACATTATCTTCTAATGCTGAATTACTAAATCCTAACAGTCTTTATGATAAACTTGCCAAAATGTGGATGGGCAGTATTATTATCCAAATTTTATTAAATGAAATGCATGTGAAACCTTGAACCTCTGACCAAAAATCTTTTCCTAATTCTGGTTCTGTAAGCACAGAATGCACTTATTTACACAGGAATGTACTGCACTCTGTGTGGGCTTAGAGGCAATGTTTTTAATTATATTATTAAAGTCTGATTAAAAACAGATTGCAAACTTGCTATTTGGCTCATGTAATACACTAAACCATATTTTATTGACTAAATCACAGTTGTTTCAATGTTCTCACTGAGCTAAGTCACAAATAGGGTAGCCACATGTGGCCAGCAAAAGTCCAGGCAGCCACTAGATGGCAGCAAAGAGATACAGAAAACTCCCCCTGTCCCCAGGACTTTTCTGCAGCTCTGATCTGGCAACTCTAGTCATAAAGCACATTTTCCAAACCACAAAAATTACACACAAATGTCATGCCATCCCAACTACATTAAATCTTAGCAGGATAGGAGAACTCACCGAGACCGCAATCCTTTATTTGGACTACAACTCAACGGGATTTACTTCGGAGCCAACATTTCTAGAAATTCTAAAACTTCAATTAAGCTGTATCTTAAAACGTGTATAGCACTGGGATTCCATTTCCGGCTGCCGAAAATGAAGCTATAGAATAACTCTTCAGATATTTTCTGAAGCATACTAAAATTATCACTTAGCTGGAATGTTTATATAGTTATCATTTTCAAAATATTTCACACACATCAGTAATATCTAGTAAAGTGGCTACTGTTCTTACATCATTGCAGATCTATATATCACACCACTTTTCTAAGGAGCTCAGAAGATCTACCTCTCTACCGACTTAAATTTCATTCTCTCAACAACAGTGTGGAACGCAGTAAGTCTTATAGCTTGCTGTGATCTGAAGTTGTGATCAGAAACGCACTACTGTAGGACTTTTAGATACAGTCTTAAACCCACTCATACCATGTTGACCTTACCTGGGATGGAAGATCTCCAAGAATGCCACAGCTAAAGGCTGGATCAGGAAGCAAAAAAACATCCCAGAAGAAATCAGTAGGAACCCATCTCCATGCTGTGGTCAAGAAAACTACGTAGACATTTCTATTAACTCCTATTTCTAGTAGTTGAGTTCTACCGGAAGGAAACTTTACTTTTTGCCTTTAGACACTTATCAGGGAATAAGGCCCATTGAGCACAGTAAGAATTTGCCTCCAGGGAGACCTGGAATTTCCAGCCCTTTACATTAGTAAATGCTGTACTCTGGCATTATCACCATTTTGTTGTCTTGCAGATAGAAGGTGGGAAAACAAAGAGCTTACACAAAGCCACTTAAGATGGTAGAACTAAGTAGTGCCAAGGTTAGGACATTTAACATGGCTCATCTACTGCCATGTAAACTCCCTGGGAGATTTTGAACCAGTCACTCTTTCAGCCCAACCTAACTCAGAAGGTTGTTGCTGTGTGGCTAGTATAAAGCAGGATCCTCATTTTCTGGGAGAAAAAAATAGGAGATAATCCTGAAAATTAAATCAGTTTATTTGTCATAGGCACAGCTATTATCTTACATTTAGTAATGCTATCCAGGT